CTCCGGCAAAGTGAGATGCACGAACTCTTAATCCGAAGCCCTGGTTCGTGAGACAGCCAGCGACTCCGCCACCTTGCCCTCCTCTTCTTCCTCCCCTTTTTTTCTTCCTCCCTGGGGAACTTCCCTCTGGATGCTGTTTTGGGAGGCTCGGATCTCTAAACACCGCACAAAGCAGACTCTGGATTTCTCGGGGCTCCGCCGCCAACCTCCAGAAAGCGCTGGGTGCTTCTCTGCCTCCCTCTCTCTCTACCCCCCTCCCTCTCTTCGTTACTTTCCCCCCCTCCCTTTTGCCTTCACACTTTTGCACCGTCAGGTGTCTCTGTAACTAAATACGTATAACGATTTTACATTTTTGGATATATATATTTATTTTTGGCTTTGTTTGGAAGCAAATACTGTACACACACACACACAAAAAAGTCCCTGCAGCCCAGGATGGGGGTCGGTGGGGGCTGCTTAGTCCTGCCCTGGCGGTGCCTAGTCGTCCTGTGTCTCAGGCTGCTCTTCCTTGTGCCCGCAGGAGTGCCCGTGCGCAGCGGAGAGGCCACCTTCCCCAAGGCGATGGACAACGTGACCGTCAAGCAAGGGGAGAGCGCCACCCTCAGGTAGGAAAAGAGTCTTTCCTCTGGGTTGGCTTGGGCAAGGAGCTGGGACGGAGTGAGCGGGCGGGCGGGCGCGGGGGGGGGGTCCGGTCGGGGGTCTCTTGCCTTTGCGCTCTGTCGTGGACGCTTTTTTCCCTCCCCGCAGGTGTGCTGCGGAGGTGGCGGAGATTCTGGGAAGGGTGTGCTGGGCTAGAGCGGAAGCGCGGCTGCCAGCCTGCCTGGTGGGTCCAGGAGGCAGAGCTTTTGGTCATAGGGTGCCTTGGCGCTAGCCGAAGCCACTGATCTCTGGCAAATTCTCTCTGACAGCAGCGTGCAGTATGGCAAGTCTTTGGTTTCGGGTGCAACCAGGCTGGAGTCGTAGGTCTCCCTCTTCATCTGGCACGGTCTGGCTAATGTTGGCGGAGAGGGTTATTATTACACTATAGATACCAGGAGGTGTGTCTGGCAGGAAGGTGAGGAGATCTTCATGGCAGCCTTAGCAGGAAAGGTCTGTGCCTCGTTTGTGGCTGTCAAGAAACACAATAGACCATCGTTACTGTTCTACTAAAGGCAGCTTTGGATTCTCTCCCGGCCATGTGGATCTTCTAGCATTCTGGAAGATCTTGGAACCCTTGGTGTTTGTTATTTTCTCCTGTTTTCTGTGGCCAGAAACAGATATTGGAGAGAACTGGGGGGTAACTGGAAGAGGGAACACTCTTAGCTAACATGACTGTCTGAGAGTCAGCCTGAGCTCCCCTCACCTCTGGGGAAAATTCAGATTAGTTTGCTTTGTTTCCCGATTGGTCTTCAGGACTTAAGCCTCAGATGCCTTTGAAGTCTGATTTCACAAACACAGAAAGATTGCTTCAGTTGCCTCTCCCGGCACCATTAACATGCTTTCAGCTCTAATTATGGGCACTCTCTAAAGTCTGTGTCTGTCCTGCTTTATGGGGACATGAAGGGAGGGTTGTGTGTGTATGTGTGTCTGTTTGGATAGGGGAGGGATGCGACCGTTTATAATTTGTGGGTCCAAACTGAGTGCAAAAGTTGGCCCAGGGACAAAATTCCTCTCCCCCCCCTCCCCTGTTGGAGGGGGAAAGTGTTGTTTGTCCTGATTCTGCCCTTAGCTTGTGGTTGCATTTTGCTTAGCCCTTCGCAGTGAATCAAGCAGGCTCTTGGGTTGAGAGCGGAGGACAGAGATATTAGTCAGTAGTAGGAAGGACAACAGTTTGAAAAGAGGGAGAAAACAATGACGATGCATTAGCAGTAGACCCAATCAAATAACATACAGTATTCCTTCTTCGACTGCCAAGCAGTGTAACATGGTGTTAATAGAGTCGAAGTTAAATGAGCTGTATACACCGTGTTAGGAGGCTGTTCCACAGTAAGGAGAGAACTGTGTAACTATATAACAAATCCAAGATTCCCCCCCCCCCAAAGAAGCCTGGTTGCTGAGGTTGTGAACTTCCTTTGAATCTCTTGGCAGGATCACAGTTTTTCCAAGATCTTTCAGAAGAAGGGAAAGATGGCTAAATCCACTGTAGACTGCAATCCTACACTCACTTACTCCAGAGTAAACCCTATAGAAGGCATGCCGAGGACGTGATGGGCAGCTTGATGGAAAAGTCAAGTCACTGTGTGGTTGCTGCGAAAAGCAAGCCAACAAGCAGCAAATTCTGTGTTAGAAATAATTAGGAAAGGAACTACCAATAATAATAAAAAATTCTGATACCATAAATGCCTTTATAGAAAACTTTGACACGCATGTGTTCGGAATACTCTGCATAGTTCTAATGGCCACACCTTTAAAGAGGAGGGGGTGTTGTTGTAGAGCTGGAAAGGGGTGCTAACCAAAATGATCAAGGAGGTGCGAAATCCCCTATGGTGTGGATTCCTGACAGTGAACTGCTGGATAGCTCAGTGGATTAGGTTTCTGGTTCTGAATCCAGAGGTTGGGAGTTTGATTCCCTGCTGTGTCTCCTTGTCAGGGGCCACACTTGATGATCCATAGGGTCCCTTACAGCTTCTGCGATTCTGAGATTATTATAAGTGAATTTGCTGTAGAATTTAGTTTGTCCTTTGCAGGAACTATTTAGGAATGCTGGCCGCTATCAGCACTTTTGATAGTTCCTGTAAAGTTCAGAATAAAGCTTGGCGTGGATCAAGGGCCACCTGTTACGCGTATGTTGTAGGAGACACGACTGAGATGTACAACATGATATGTGATGTGGAGAAAAGTGGAGATCGAGATGGTTTTCCTCTCTCATAATACTAGAGGCAGTTCTGATTCATGCAGCAGGCACCTCAGCAATAGAATTTGCTACCTAAAGATGTAATAGAGGCAACTAATGTTGATGGCTTTAGAAGGGAATTAGACAGATTCATGGAGGAAAAGGCAAGAAATAGCTACTAGTCATTATCATTATATATTACCTCCATAATCAAAGACAGTCTATCTCTATATCTCAGTACCAATTGATGAGGCAAAGCATAAGAAAGAAGATGCTGCTGGATTCAAGGCTTGACCATACACTTTCCATTAGCATCTGTTTGGCTGCTTGCTTAACAAAATGCTAGAAAAGGTAGATCTTTGTTCTGATCCATAAGGGCCCTCCTTGTGTCCTTACACTGGCTGGATAGCTCCGTGTGGTTTTGAAGTTGATTGGAAGTTTGATTCCCCACGGTGCCTCCTACAAGGGAAGGTTAGCTTGTGTGGCCTTGGGCAAGGTTCATAGTACCATTGCTTTCTTCCAGAAAACACTTCTGAGTACTTTCGACCTGGAAAATCCTGGTAGATCAAGATTATAAAAACGTTGACTGGTATTATGTAACATACAAGTTTTATGAACTTTTGACCAAAAACCGAAGTATCTGTTAAATATCAGTGCAGTATGTAATCCTGTTCCTAATATTGCCATTTTCATAGCTCTGATGCTTTGATTTCTGAGAACTGCAACTGCTTATAATACTGTGTGAAATTTCTTGATATTGTTTCCAAAGCCCCAATGACTATGGGGATCTCTGAAATGTGTCTTCCAGAGGTGAGATGTTTCGATTGCCAGATATCTGTACTTTGTTAGTTTTTCCAGTTCTTTATTTTCAACTCTGGCATCCCCTGGAATTGCAATGTCAATGATGACGATGATGGTAATGATTATGATGATTTCTTTACCAGTAAACATGCTTAGAATAGTGCTTTCAATCTGTAAAGGAACAATTCTCTACATGTGTGAAGTTTTCAATCAGATTTGGGGAACTTTTTGACCTCCAGGTTTTTTTGAACTATAAATCCCACAAATATTTTCCTTTGGCCTTACTGGATTGGAGTTGAAAGCTGTTAGTATTCCAGATACACGATTAAACCAGATTCTTATGATTGAAAAAAAAATCAGTTGCATAACACTAACTATGTATAGTTCTATGAACTAGGATTTATAGTAAAGCAACCTACAGTTTTAACTTCCTTTAAAAATTTTGGAATGTTGAGTGGAATATTTGATTTTGTTATGGGCTTAAAAGTAAAGCTTGAATTGAACAACTGGTGCTTTTGGGGAAATTGGGTATGGGGAAGAATTGGTGGAGACAGAGTTAAAGCAGTGGACTTACATTCTGTGAATATCTATACACCATTTTTATAGGTAAAAATCAGGTTAAGATACTTGACCTTACTTAGAAAGGTAACTAGAGACTTAAAAGAGAGGACAACTGTAGAGAATGACCATTGTAGCATCTCATACACTTACAGAAGACAAAATAGAAGGTTTACAGCGTAAATCCAATGGCCAAAACAGTGTTGGTTAGTGCAATAGAGTAGGCCCACTGAATCGGTGGGAATTTGTTGAGTCAACTCCTCCATAAGTTCCATTGGTATAAATTGGCCTAGTTTAGTGTAGTAAGTCATAGTTAGAGTAGGCCCATTTCGTATAGTAAATCACAGATAGAATACAGTGGTGCCCCGCTTGACGACGATAATGCGTTCCAGCAAAATAGCTGTACAGCAAAATCATCGTCAAGCAAAAAATGAAAACAAAACCAAACCTGGAATGCATTGAAAACCGGTCAATGCATTCCAGTGGGGGAAATACCTGCTCGTCCAGCGAAGATCCTCAATAGGGCGGCCATTTTGCGATGCCGGTGTAGTGAAAATAGGTCCGGAAAACAGCGGGGAGCCATTTTGCCAACCGCCGATCAGCTGTTTTTAATAGTCGTCTAGCGAACAATTGATTTGTGAAGCAGGGTCCAAATCATCGTGAAGCGAAAAAAACCATTGAAACCATCGTTTTGCGATCGCTATAGCGATTGCAAAAAAACCTCATCGTTAAGCATTTTTGTCATCAAGTGGGGTCATCGTCAAGTGGGGCACCACTGTAAGTCCATTTGAATCAATGGAACTTAAGGAGGAGTTGACTTACCAGATATCACTTGATTCAATGGCCCTACTCTAGTGTAATGTATGAGAGTAAGCAACACAATTTTCTTTTCTCTGAAAGGAGTGGTGAGGGCAGTACCAGCATTATGGAACTCATAATCGAAAGGGAGTGCATGAGTGCTCTTTGGAGTTCTCTGTAGCTGCTTCTGCTCAGTCTTTGTTATCTGCTCATTTGCCCTGTGATGTAAGGAGCATTTAAGAGAAGAAATCTGAGAGGTTAAAGAGCTTTACAAGGGCAATTTGGCAAAGATAAGACTGTTGGTGGCTACTGGTTGTGATAACTTCATGGCTACCTCCAGGACCAGAGTACTTACTAAAGAATAAGCCTACAGGAATAGAGTATGACTCACTTTTGTGTAAAACTGCACAAGTTTGCATAGATTGACTACTTGCACACTTACCTGGGACTCCGCACCATTTAACAGAATAGAACTTGCTTCTGTATTGGATCAGACTTTTAAATAGTAATAACCATGTTGTGTGTGTGTGTGTATGTGTGTGTGTGTGTGTGTAATATTCTGCATTCACTTTATTTTAGTTTTGTGTAGATATTTTTATGCTATATATTTTATAATTTCTTTTGGAAGGCGGATTT